GGACAGGGTGTGTATGATGGACAGAGCCACAAGAAGCAAAATAGCCAGAGGAACATAAGGAAGAGCTAGGAGCCTGCTGTCACTGCCACTTGAGCATCAATGACTTGAAGCCAGCATCTTCCACTGTACTTAGTGATGGGATCAGCCTTTTATGGCAGTATGTTCTAGATGATCAGGAAAAGGATTAGTGAAAAGTAGGAGCACCATGGACAAGCCGAAAGGGAGCATTTTGAATTCATATGAGGGCAAACCTGAGGTATTTGCGATGGTCTAGTCGGATGTTTACGTGATAGTATGTGTCCCTCAGGTATAGGATTGTGAACCAGTTGCCCTGTTAGAGCAACTGAATGGTGCTATCCAAGGTAGCCACACGTAATTGCCTCAGCATAAAGTAGGAGTTGAGGTGGCAGAGGTCCAAGATAGGTCAATCTTTTTTGGAAACTTTTTTGGAAACTATTTTGGACCATCACAAATACATTTGGAAACTGTGAAGTAATAGGATTAAAACCTGAGAGTTATGTCTGCATTTTGGACAAGGTCGACGGTGTCTTCGTCCAGTAAGGAGCGCACCTCTTCTTCCAAGGCAAAGGAAGGAGCAGTGGGCTTGAAAAGTCCAGTAGAGGGTAGTTAATCAAATTTTATTGCATACCTGATGCTAATGATGGTGAGGACCTAGGTACACAAGGTGATCTGAGCCCATGTTAATAAGAACGGTGCAACATGTGCAGAATATGCAAGTGTTATCGGTGGGTGCAAATGGGTCTGGCAAACTGGGAAACAAAAGAATATGCTTTTATTTCTTCTCAGGTCAGCAGGTGTACTGTCAAGGACACTGTCTCCTGGGCTGCTGTCGAGAGGAGGAGGTCATCATATGGGACTGCTGGAGGTCTACTGGAGGTTTGTAAAGTTGGTAAGTATAAGGGCGACACCAAGAGTTTTTGGGGGGCCATTAATGTACATTGTATGACCTCACAAATTTCCTAATCTTTTGTAGGTTGACGAGGGTTTCACCAGTCTTTTCATCGAAAAGGCCAAGATGCCCAAAAGGTACATCCTCAGTTCTGGATCTTGCATCCTCTTAATATGCCTACCAATCAAAGCCATGCATGCCGAGGTAAGGCTATAGCTGTGGTCGTGTGTTTGGATGTTGCATCCATGACAGTGTGCTGCAGTCCTTACCTGGTGGGCAAGAGTCACGGCCTCTTGATCATAGGAAAGGCCACAAGAACAGTGATCCTCTGGAGCTGCCTGAAGAAAAGGAAGGGCTTTATTCCAAAGGTGGCAATGGTGAACCCCCCATCGCTGCCATGTAATTGGCTACCTTGAGGGTGAAGGAGGCAAGGGAGGAAGCACAGTGACCAGTAACAGCCAATTTTCTACCCTCATGGTTACTGGTGGCAAAGGCATTGCAATTTCTGGCTCTGTTCTGAGTGGCAGCAACAACAACTGAACTGGGAAGAGGATGCTTGGAGAGAACGTTTGTATTAGTACTGTGTGTCTTATAAAAGTTTTCCACGCATCTGGGAATCTGAGGGATGGAAGATGGCTTCTTCCATAGTTCCTTAATGATTTTGAGTAGAGAAGGGATAAAGCCAAGATGAAGTGGAGGTGTCTGGTCTTGATTAATATCCTCATAGACCTTGTCGGACCCGTCAGGTGATGGTTGATCAACAGTGAGGTCCATGACCTTGGTTACGCAAAGAATCAAGTGGGAATAAAATGTAAAGTCCTCTGAAGGGGACAGAGGATGGGTATCTGCAACATCAGAGTAGGGCGTAGGGTGGGTGGGGAGTCTTCCAGTGTTCCCATATCAGAGACTTCAGTATCAAAATCCTGGTGAGCCAGAGAAAGAACTTTTTCTGTTGACAGAGAGGAATTCCTCCAGGTCGCTACTGATGAGTGACAGTAAGCCTCCTCCCAAGGCAAAGGAGGGTATTTACTGTGTGTTTCATTTGACCTATGCAGAGATGGTTGCTGTCTAGAGCGGAGCGTCTTCTGCTGAAGCTGAGAAGTCGAACCAGTATTGAGTGGTTCCGGTGATGGCCTTTGAAAAGTTGTGGTGACTTTTCAAAGCTGAGGATTAAATTTAAGATAGGATTGCTTGAGCCTGGGGCATCCATGTTGATGTATAAGTCAGATGTCATGGTTGTTCTGGCATTGGGGGTTGGCAATTATCCCAGTTTGATGGAAGAGGTCTCTTATGATGTTGAGACAACACTGGTGCCCAGGGTAGAACATGAAGCTGGTGACTGTAGCCATCATACCAAGGGCAGTCCAAGGTGCGGTCGGTTACAAGACCACTTCTGAGGAGGTTTCTCCTGTATCAAGTCTGAGCCTGAGGTGTGTCCAGAAACTGATCCACCCTGAGATTTAGGGCTTGTATGTGCCGACGGCATCATTGCAGTAACATCAGCTGAGGTGTTCCCCCAGTCAGGAGACTGACAAAATTGAGGGGAGGCTGCGTTGTTAGATAAGGGGAGAGGAGCATCCTCATCCCCGGACAGTGAATCCAGACAGACCGTCTCTCGTCTGTGTTCCTCCAGAATCAAAGGTGGAGAATCAGGTTTATCCACAGAGAAGGGCGCCAGAGGACAGTGGCTCTTGTGGCTTGAAGGTGTCAATGATCTCTTCTTTCTAGATGCATCGGATGGTATCGAGGCAGACTTTGATATCAACGGGGTGGCTGGAGCGTTCAAGGTCGATTTCGATGCTGATGTTGAAGCTCTCACCTTAGACTTCTTGATCGGCTGCATTGGTCTCGGGGTCGGGGAATGGTTCTGCGAGGTAGGTGAGGGCTCTTCACCATGGGATTGATCTGGGTCCATGTTGGAGTACTGGGGAGATTTTAGAGATTTCTCCCAGAGGAAGGAGTGGAAGTATCGAAGGGGAAGCTTCAATGCTGATTTTGTTGAATTTTTGCACACCAGACACATATTAGTTTGGTGTGCCTCTCCTAGGCAGAAGAGAGAGCAGGAATGCAGATAACGTTATTTTGCTTGAAAGGGCCTGAAGAGACCATAAAATAATGGCCGAAGAAAGGGAGGAGAAGGAGCAACAAAGTGTGTTTCTTTTTCTCCCCACACTCTTTTTTAAAGCTCACTACTGGAGGGAGGGAAGGTCCAGTGACAAAAGATTCCTAAATTTCTTATTAATTTTAGAAATCAAGTGGAGCTCTGTTGCCACGATGCAGATGCAGTGGTGGCAAAAAATGGAACTGAGGCACTCTGTGCCATGGGGGGAGCATGTGCACTAGGCGGGAGGTCCTCGCAAACACGTGTACAAGCTCTAGAGGTTTCCGAGAACCTCTGCGCAGCTGCAGTATAACCCATTTGTGCGCATTCACAGAGACCACAAAAAAGAATAATAGAATCAGAATAACTGAGTTGGAAGGAGCCTATAAGACCATTGAGTCCAGCCCCCTGCTCAATGCAGGAATCCAAATCAAAGCAGATCCCCGATATTCAGCCTAAATCTGGCTTCCTGTAGCTTGAGCCCATTATTACGTGTCATCTGCTCTGGAAGGATGAAAGCACCTTGTGCTGCTCCTCTGTATGACTACCTTTCAAATATTTGCAAAGAGCTATCATTGAAGGGGGATTCCAGTTGTGATGCAGTGAAGGGGCATAGCATTTATCACCCAACAACTTTCCATTCTGGTGTCTAAATAATTTTGAAAATACTGCAGAACAACCTACATTACTTTACAGATGCTGGGGGGGTTTGTTGTTTTTGCTCGTCACAAGGAAAATCCCTTTCGCAGATGTTACATTATGATATGACGTATTTCATTACAAAAGGAAAATATATGCCAGAATCTTGTTACATATCAGTCAGTGTACATTTCAGCAGTTAATTGCCACAGGTTAAGAAATCAGCATAGGTAACTGCCACTGCACACCAATGCTGACTTACGGCAGCCTGCTCCTGAAGTTTACACTGGTTAAATCATGCAGACAGTCATAACTAGCAGGATTCTAGCCACCAAGCAGCATGTCTTGTCTCTGACTTGCCTTCTCTGATTACAAATGGTTGGTGCATTTAAGAAAGAAAATAAAGTTTTTTGTTAATGAATTGTTATTCTTAAAGTGCAACTTTTCTTCTTCCCTCTATAATATATATTTTGATTACCATCCGTACCCTCCATTTTCTCCCTGCTTCAAATAATAATTTTCTAGCACCACATTTCAAGGATTTATTAGGAAAGCAAACAATGAAAAATACATTCTGCCAGAATCCAGTTAAAAGTATGGTTAAGCAACAATTCTTGCTTTCCATCACACTGCCCTCTGGAGGTAACCGATGTGATTATTATATTTCAAAACCAGTGTTATGCCAGGAAATATTTCTACTTCAAAAGCCACTTCTCTTCAGAGTCAGCTCCACAAACACAATTTTTTGTTTCCACAGCCTGGCAAGGAGGGTTTGCTGGAGAAGAGGCAAAGCAGGGGGTGGTTTTAGCAGTGCTTATAATTGCTTCCAAATGATACTGAGCACACGATGCCACCCACGGGCCTTATGGAGGAGCCCCTGTTGCTGGTATGCTTTCTTGTTGTCTCCTATGGCAAAACAACATTTACCTAGGAATAAAGTGCAGTGTGCTGCCTATTTTAAAGGCAAGCCCCCAACAACTTAATGCTAACAGGATGTGTGAGAGGAAAGAAGGGGACAATGTCTTCTTGTTGTCCCCTATGGCAAAACAACATTTACCTAGGAATAAAGTGCAGTGTGCTGCCTATTTTAAAGGCAAGCCCCCAACAACTTAATGCTAACAGGATGTGTGAGAGGAAACATGGGGACAATTTAGGGGACAGTTGGGCTTTGTCTTATGTCCTCAAAGGCCAGGACAATCCTGGCCTTCTTTAGCTGGCATTAAGTTGTTGGGGGCTTGCCTTTAAAACAGGCAGCACATTGCACTTTATTCCTAGGTAAATGGGTGCATAGCATTGCACGTGATGTTTTGCCATAGGAGAACCATGACAAAAAGAAAGCATACCAGCAACAGGGTCTCCTCCATAAGGACAGTGGGTGGCATCGTGTGCTCAGTATCATTTGGAAGCAATTAAAAGCACTGCTAAAACCACCCCCTGCTTTGCCTCTTCTCCAGCAAACCCTCCTTGCCAGGCTGTGGAAACAAAAAGTTGTTTCTTAAAGTCATAGGTTGCTGTATGTACCACAAAACATTAACGAGTTACTGTTAGTGAAGACATCTTAACGTAGTGCTGCTTCCCCATTTTCAAAATTAACTATATTGAAACAAGCCATCCTGCTTTAGGGCTACTGTGTTACAAGCTTTCTCCAGTTGTTGTCCAAGGGCCTGCCCAGACTGACCATTTTGGGTGTGGGGTGGATCGGGCTACAAAGAGTCTGCTGAAGTGTGGTGAGAGTGGTGTTCCATTTGGCATGCTTTTCTTGTCTGAACAGCAAACGACCCCTTGCAGCCGAATCACCTGCCAATTAAACACTTCCCCTGGTCAACTGTGGAGGGTCAGGGGAAGTGAAAATATAACTTTTAACATTGCCCTGCTCTCCCTCTCTCAGTGCTGTTGTGTTTTCCCAAAACTCTTCTGAGTTCTTTTGGAACCCTTCAATAACATTTTAATATCGATAAACGTTTGCCTCTATCTTCCATCTATGCGCTTCTTTATAGTCACAGTTTACCAAGAGTTCCATGTTTACCCTGGCATGATCTGAAATTTGAATAACATCAATACTTGTATAATAATTTATTATAATTCTTTGGATAGTGATATATAATTTATTGTTGTATAGGTTTTGTGCACCAATTAGTAATAAGAGTATCTTCTTTCGCCTGCTTTTAATTCTCTTCACACATCTTTTAAGTCTGTATTTTTGATTAAATTCTATAATATAGTACCTTTTTTTTGTTTTTGTCCACTTTCTGAACTTTTGGCTCATCTTTTAGAACATCCGTAGTAGAGATGGGGATATTCATATACGAATANNNNAGTCTACTTAATATATTTACAAAGAATTCTTCCTTTTTTTCAATAGGTGCATATATATTCATATATATTCAGAACCAGCCTGAGTGGCCTTGGGCAAGCTGCATAGTCCCCAGGGCACCCCCAGAAGAAGAAAGTGACAAACCACTTCTGAGTATTTTTTACCTGGAAAACCCTGAAAACAGCCATCATAAGCCAGAATTGATGTTTTCATATTAATTTATACATCAAGTCAATTCTGACTTATGATGACTGTTTTCAGGTTTTTCCAGAAGTGGTTTGTCACTCTCTTCTTCTGGGGGAGCCCTGGAACTGTGCGGCTTGCCCAAGGCCACTCAGGCTGGTTTCTCCCAGGAGGCACAGTGGGGAATCGAACTCCCCCCCCAACCTCTGGCTCTGCCACGAGATACCTAAACCATTGAGCTATCCAGCCAGCATTTTTAGACTGCGCCCTAAATCGCCAGGCATTGTGGCCAGTAGGGCTGCAGCCCCCAAATAGTAACTTTTCTAAGCTCTGTCCTCATGCCAGAATACAGAAGCCAGGTTCAAAAAGTAGAACAATCTAGTTTTCACCCCTGGTCAGAAAAAAAGGGGGAGCAAGTCTACAGAATCTCCATCTTAGACTCACCAAAGCCCCAAAGAAACACACCTCAGTACAGTGGTGCCTTGCTTAATGGCGATAATCCATTCCAGGAAAATCGCTGTTAAGCAAAAACATTGTAAAGCGGGGGAAAAAACCCATTGCAACCCCTTCAATGCGTTCCAATGGGGTCAAAACTCACCGTCTAGTGAAGATCCTCCATAGGGCAGCCGTTTTCGCTGCCTGTCTTGCAAGGAATCCGTCCCAGAAAACAGCGGGGAGCCATTTTGTTTACCCAGTGGCCATTTTGAAACCGCCGATCAGCTGTTTTAAAATCATCGTTTTGCGAAGAATCGGTTCCCGAAGCAGGGAACTGATAATTGCAAAGCGAAAAAAACCCATTTAAACCATCGTTTTGCGATCGCAAAAAGATTGTCGTAATGTGGTTTTGTTGTAATGCGGAGCAATCGTAAAGCAAGGCACGACTGTACTGAAATCAGGGTGGTTGTATCATTGAAATCTGTTCCTTAAACTGCTTTGTTATTAGTGCTCCATGAAGATGCATCTGACTAATGGTGACCCTAGCAGGGTTTCTGAGAGATGTACTAATACCACTCCATCCCCCATGAGCTTCCGTGGCTGAGCAGGGATTCAAACCCAGGTCTTTTTGAGTCCCATTCTGTCACTCTATCCACTACACTATACTGGCTCTGAACTGCCTTAGGGATCATGTAAGAAAAAGGTTGGGTATGAATCTTTAAATAAATAAACTATGTAGATTTTCTAAATATAATATGGGGTTTTTTTTTATTTTCTTCTTCTTTGGTGTGCTTTTCAAAAATAGAAACACTCAGAGGAGGCCTAGAATCAGGATTATATTTTTTTTGCCTTTTGTTTTAATTTCAGAACATCAGAGAAGTGCCAAGGTGCTTTAATAACCTCTTTGTTCTTTAGTCTACTTTCCTTAAAGCTGACTAATTCTGAATTTAGGCTTGTGAGCTTTTATTGTTTTGACTTCAAGCCTTTTCATTTATTTGTTGTACCCATTCAAGTCCCATCAGCCCCTTTTTTCTTTATGTAGATTTTAATTTCCGCTTTTGTTTTCCAGGTTTTAAGTCTGGACAGAACCGTCGCTGTCTAAATCATAAACACGACGCTGTCAAGTGTGGCTATTAATAAATCACAAACAGAATTTTATATAAAATAATGCTGAAGTATTCCTTTAATAATGTTCCCTGTTACTATCCTAAGCTGTGGCTTCCTCTGATTCTCTTACTGCCAA